CCACGGGGGCCTGACTTAGGGTCAGTGCTCACAAATGCTTCTTGAACGAGCTGTAGCAGACACGAATGAGTTAATGAGGTGAATGAGTGTGAACTGCCTTGCAGCCCTTTGGAAGGACAGGCTCTGCTTCTGCATGAACTAGGAAATGATCTGGGCAGTTGCCCATAGCTGTTCCTGGTGCTCGAGTGATTTCTAAAGCCCAGCATTTGTCCGTCTGCCTGTTTCCATGGTACTGACTTTAGCTCTCTCTCCATGAAACATCTGAACGGAGAGAGAGACAACACAGGCAACAAGCATCCAATCAGAAAGAGATCACTGTATAGGAAGGAAATTAAGACACACCTTCATGCTCTGGTTGGTGGTTCTTTGGCACTGTGTCTGATATGAGACCACATGGTGTCATTACTCTGGAGCACGGGTCAACAAACTTCTTCTGTAAAGGACCAGATAGGAAATATTTGTGGCTTTGCAGGTCATATGGGCTCTGTCACAACTACTCAGCTCCACTGTTGTGGTACAAAAGCAACCAGAGACAATACGTTAACAAATAGATGTGGCTGTGTTCCAATAAAACTTTATTAACAAAAACAGGCAGTGGGCCGGATTTGGCCTGTGGGCCCTAGTTTGTCAGCCCCTGTTTGAAAGTACTAATTGGTCTTTCATGTTCTTTTAAAATTATTATTAACTAAAATTTGTTCATTATCCTGTTCTTTTTGTGTTCTCCTGTTATGTCTAATAAAAAGCTGACTTGCTTAAAAAGCAAGACATTTTTCCAAAAACCGCTTTAAAAGATGTGTGTGGTTGGGGTGGGAGAGAGGTGAATATGTGTGGATAAAACATGGCTACTATAAGGTAGATGGTAGATGGTAGAATGAGGAAATTCTACCATCTGTGGCAACATGGATGGACCTTCAGGGCATTATGCTGTCAAATAAGTCAGACGAGAAAGACAAATACTGTATGATCTCACTTATATGTGGAATCTAAAAAAAACAAACAAACTCATAGAAAAGGAGATCAGCCTGTGGTTACCAGAGGCAGAGGGTTGGGGGAGGGGACTGGAGGAAGGGGGTCAAAAGGTGGGAACTTCTAGTTATAAGATAGGGAAGTCCTGGGATGTAACGTACAGCATGGTGACTGCAGTTAACACTGTTGTATGTTACATAGGAAAGTTGTTAAGAGAGTAGATCCTAAGAGTTCTCATCACAAGGAGAGATTGTTTTCTTTTTTCTTTCTTTTCTTTTCATTGTATCTATTTGAGAAGATGGATGTTAGCTGAACCTATTGTGGTAATCATTTCACAATATATGTAAACCAAGCCATCAAGCTGTGTGCCTTAAAATTATACAGTGATGTGTCGATTATTTTTTAGTAAAACTGGAAAAAACACAAAACAAAACATGGCTACTTGAAAGGGTGGCACGGTCCTCCCCCAGTCCCCAGTCAGCTCTGCTCTGTCACCAGCCCCTCCTGCTCCTGCCCAAGCTGTCCAGCCCCCACCCACATAGCCCCAGAGCTCCTAAATCCCTGGCCAGCCTGGCCGTGGGGCTCGGGTGGCCGGCAGCTCTGCACCTGGCTCTTCTCTTCAGTCTTGACGCAGAGGGGCGGACTGAGTTTGCGCTGACCGCTGCCCTCGCATCTCTTTGAACTTTTCTATTTTCCCACCAAAGCCACAGTTAAAGTGCAGTTTGCAGCCCTCAGGACCCTGCCCTTCTTTCACCTTCCCTCCCCAACCTCAGTGTCTTTGTTCTGAGTTAAAGGATCATCATGAGGTGGAAAAAAAACAAAGCCACCAATTTTCTCTCCCATAAGGATGTGTTCTGGAGTCTAGAAAGGCCCATGCGAAAGAGTCTTGCTAGCAGTTTTACTGGCTTTCCATAAGGAGAGCTAAAATGCTGGTTGCCAAGCAACACACATGCCCTGGCTTCTTCCAACAATGTGGACTTAAAAAGAAATTTGTCCTGTGATTGACTCATGAATGGGGAATCATGTGGAAATACGCAGGGCAAACAGTTTGATGTAGCTATGTTATATCCGTTTTTTCTGTCTTCAGTATTTTTCTCCTTATAGGGACTTCCATGGGGTCACATGGAGACATAAGTGGGGTGCGCCTTCAGCAGAGTGCACTTGATTAACAAGCCTTCCCATTAAGAACTTCATAGTACAGTCAATCCTCATCGTCTGCAGATTCCATATTTTGTGAATTGGCCTACTCGCTGAAATTTATTTGTAACCCCCCAAATCAAAACCCATGGCGCTTTCACTGACGTTCGTCATTCACAGACATGCGCAGTAGCGAAAACTTGGAGCGGTCCAATGCACATGTTCCCACTGAAGCTGAACAGGACCATGCTCTCCCTTCTTGTTTCACGTCTCTTCCTGTAAACGAGTGTCCTTTTTACAGTCTATTTAGTGCCGCATTTTTTGCATTTGTATGCTTTTTGTTGGTGATTTCACTGTTTAAAATTTAGCTCCCCAAGCATAGCGCTGAAGTGCTGTCTGGTGTTCCTTCCTGCAAGAAGGCTGGATATGCCTTATGGAGGAAATGTGTGTTAGATGAGCTCCCTTCAGGCGTGAATATAGTGCTGTTGGCGTGAGTTCAATGTTAATGAATCAACAATATGATACATCCAGAAAAAGGAGGAAGAAATTCACTGATCTATACATCAAGCTGCCCTGGAGAGGGCTAACGTAATGTCTAAAATGCATGATGAAGCCAGGGACAAGTGGCTATATTTGTGGATTCACGAGATGACTGATTAAAAAAAAAAAAAGCGTAGTGGACAGTATTGTGAAGCTGAGAGCCAAAGAATTGATGGTCATGTTATCCAGGGTCAGGAGAAGGTTAAACCCTCCTAAGCTAGTATTTTATTATAACGAAATAGTGCATATAATTCTCATTTGTAAGAAAAATATATTAAATAAGGTGTCTTTAAACTGAAACACACATGAAACAAGGTTATATATTGATCAACTGACGAAACGTTGTGACCAGAAGCCCTCAGGAACCTAACCCTCTATTTCCCCTGGGGACAGTGGCTCAGTATTCACTAATTCAGTGTTCGTGGAGATTTAATAGAACGTAACCACCACAAATAATAAGAAGTGACTGTGTGTGATCTCAGCTTAACCCTAGTGGCATCTATCTTCCACTTCCCATGTGGAAGACAAAGCCCAAGACTCATCCAGGTGCACTGTCTCCACTAAGATCGTCTGCCAGAAATGGGACTTGACTTCCCGTGTGGTTGCCAGCTCTAGTGGTATCTGGGACATCCCTGCTGGATACATTTTGAACGGAGTTAAATGTTTACAGCCAGGCCTCGCTCCTCTTCCATGGCCCCCACCTTTCTGTCTTAGTTTGGGCTGCTGTGACAAAACATCACAGACCGGGGGGCTTAAACAACAGACATTGATTTCTCACGTTCTGCAGTCCAGGAAGTCCAGGATCAAGGCGCTGGCAGATTCTGTGTCTGGGGAGGACCTACTTCCTGGTCCGCAGACGCCATCTTGCTGATATAAACTCACATGGGGGGAGGGGCGAGGGAGCTCTCTGGGGTCCCTTTTATAAGGGCTCCACCCCCATGACCCAATCACCTCCCAAAGGCCCCACCCCCTGATATCATCACATTGGACGTTAGGTTTTGACATGAATTTGGGAAAGACATAGACATCCGGTCCATACCACTCTCCTTCCATCACTTCTATCACTGATTGTTTTGCTGGAAGAAAAACCCTGAAATATTTTTAAATTGCCCTGGAACCGAGCCATGGTGGGCCCGGCGTCCCTGAACTGACACCTTAATTGGTCCCAGATGGAAAGGAAAAACAATTGCTCTCACACCACCACCTTTGCTCCCTGAAGGGCTGATGCAGGTCACGTGTGAAATGGTTTCCCCCTTTCCATGGTCTCTTCTCTGCTGACAGCAGCCTGGGTCTCACACCACATCTGCTGAGCTGGACGGTCCCCCTCCAGGGAGCTCTGCAGGGGGTGGCTGACTGACAGCCTGGTGGGGACACTGACGTGAGGACAGACCTCTCACCTGGTGTTATAAACACAACACAGAGATGGGAGCATGGGGCACAGGAAACAAAGCAGCTACCTCAGCCGCCAGGATCAGGGCCCGCTCCAGAGACGCAGTGACATTTGGCAGGAGTTGAGAGGACACATGCTGATGGTGACGTCAGCAGAGCCTCTTAAAAGCGAGGCAGGAAGAATGTTGGGACAAGTACGGGAATGGAAAAACATGAGCCATTCCTCCAGGTCAGCTTTTAAAAAGAGTCTAGAAACACAGTCTGTAAACTCCTGGGCCTCCTTATCACCACTCAGGGTGCTGACCCCTCACAGCACCTGCAGAGTCCCCAGAGGAGGTCTTTCTAGAAAGTGCTGCTTTCTGTTGCTGAGTGAGTGTGTGGGCGTATGCCTGTGGTTCTGCACTTATAATCAGGAATATGAATACCTTCATTACTAGTGTGCAAATGTGAGAGTTAACAGACAACGGCAATGAAGTGGTTGCAACTCTTTTGCAAAAGAAACTTTGCATGTATTACAAACACCTAGATCTTCAGTACAGGCTCATGGCTCAGAACTACAGAAATGCGCAGGGAAGGGCCATGTGGCAGATTGCATGTTGAATCACCCGTCACAAAGCCACTCTCTTGATCCCTTCCTCTCGTTTCTATTCCCAGGTCTCGTTATGTGCAGTGTCACATGCACACACACAGACACACAGGAATACCCCATCACAGCCAGGACGGCAGTGCCAAGGGAGGTGTTTTGCATGAATTCCATCCTTGGGGTTAGAAGCACTTGCTCAGCTGCCAACTACAAATAGCCCTGTGCTAGAAAATGATGTTAATTAGTATGCCATTAAAAAAAAAAAAAAGGAAAAAAAACCCTCACTGCCCACAACGAAAAAGCCCTGTAGAGGCCCGAAGTCCCACCCTGACAGCCCCAGCGAAGCACGGCCTGCTAATGCAGCCCTAATTCACTTTGTTGGCAGAGAAAGCAAGCTCACCATGCTGCTGCGGGAGTCCCTGGGGAATGTGAACTGTCGCACCACCATGATCGCTCACATCTCGGCCGCGGCCGGGAGCTACGCAGAGACCCTGTCCACCATCCAGATCGCCGCGAGAGTCTTGAGGATGAAGAAAAAGAAAACAAAGGTAAGGAGCTCGCAGGGGGCGCGCTGGATGAAGGAGCTTTCGGAGGCTTGCCCTGGACCTGAAGCCGAAAGAGCTGAATCAGTATTTCTAATGCCCAGCACCAGGGGCGTGGTTGAGGGTGGCTGCCAACATGTGGCTCCGTGTCCACCTCGGGGCAGGAAGACCTTTGGGCCAATAGAGAAGAACAGCACTTCTCCTCCCCACAGCTGATGCTGTCCCCACTCATCCAGCCTGGACCCCTCACAGGGAACGCCTGGTCCACTCTAGATAGTTCAAATGATTGCTTCTTTGAGATGGAAAATTTTAGAGGGACAGGAATATTCAGTTTCTCTCATCTGCTTTGGTCCTATGTAGATCAGGACCCTGTCCTTCAACTGGTTGACCCCAAAGAGGGTTGTTAACCCCTTGCTCATGTGGTCCTACTTCCCTGCATTTCCAGGAAGCATTTTCAGGCTGCTGGGTTTGCCATGTTAATTCAATGGTTTCTGATTGATGCCAACAGTCTGCTAGAAACCACTGGGCTTGTTTTCTCACACAGAGGCAAAGCCAGGAGGTGGTAGGTGACAAGAATATTTGAGAAATTAATCTGTGATTGTGGTCACTCTGATCTAGGGCCAGCTGGTGATGCGTGGGGCTTTTGTTCCCCTCCTTTTTGCATCTGTTGAAAACAGGTCTTTCCAACCAGTGCTTCTGTGCCCAAGGTGTCACACATGGCTTGGGCGTGCCACACTGGTGACCCCTCAGCCCTTAGGAGGTCAGACAGGGCCTGGGCTGGTCACCTCCTTTCATGGGCAGCCTCTGTTTCCCCAGTGTGTCATATAGGGGTTATCCTTCACCTGTGAGGCCAGGATGTGGAAAGCTGGGGCGCACTGGCCTGCCACACCCCAGGCGGAGGCCCGTATGCAGGGCGGCCTGGAGAGCCTGTATCAAGTCAGCAGCTGTCCAGCTGTTGGGCTGGCTGGGAGGGCAGTCTTGGAAGAGCCACCCACACTAACTGTTCTCCTCTCACTCCCAGTACACGTCAAGCTCCTCCGGGGGAGAGAGCTCCTGTGAAGAAGGCAGAATGCGCAGGCCCACCCAGCTGAGACCCTTCCACGCCAGGGCTGCAGGGGACTCGGACTTCCCGATCCCTCACCTGCCCAGCGACCCCGACTACTCCTCCAGCAGCGAGCAGTCCTGCGACACGGTCATCTACATTGGGCCGAATGGCACGGCCCTCTCCGACAAGGAGCTCACCGACAACGAGGGGCCCCCAGACTTTGTCCCTATCGTGCCGGCCCTGCAGAAGACCAGGGGCGACAGCCGGCCCACAGAGGCCGGAGAGGCTGCAGCCAGCAAATCAGAGAGGGACTGCTTGAAATGCAACACGTTTGCTGAGCTGCAGGAGAGGCTGGATTGCATCGACGGCAGTGAAGAGCCGAGTAAGTTTCCTTTCGAAGAGCTGCCTGCCCAGTTTGGGGCAGAGCAGGCAAGCAAGTGTCCCCCATTAAGCCAAGCAGCTGGGGCGAGCCTGTTCTGTGAGTCTGATAAGGAAGATAATGGGTCAGACGGCCAGCTGCCCGATAGGGAAGGCACTGACCCCCCGGCCTCCAAGATGCAGAGGAATCACTCACCTGTCCCTGTTGCAGTGCTCACCAACAGCCCCGCCCCTGCCTCGCCCAGGAGCATCCCGGGCAGCAGTGGCCAGCACAGTTCCTCCCAGCTGGTGCAGAGCCCCAGCCTCCAGAGCAGCCGAGAAAGCCTGAACTCCTGTGGCTTTGTGGAAGGCAAGCCCAGGCCGATGGGCTCCCCCCGGCTGGGCATCGCCAGCCTGTCCAAGACCTCAGAGTACAAGCCGGCCAGCTCTCCTTCACAGAGATGCAAAGTGTACACTCAAAAGGGTGTCCTGCCTTCTCCCGCCCCGCTGCCAACCTCTAGCAAGGATTCCGGCATGGCGTCTAGCGAGTCCCTGCTGCAGCCTGAGGTTCGGACACCCCCGGTTGGAATGAGCCCCCAGGTTCTGAAGAAATCCATGTCTGCTGGGAGTGAAGGGTTCCCTGAAACCCCCATCGATGACGAGCATCAGGCAGCAACTTCTCCAGATACCAAGAAGGAGATAGTGAGCACCACAATGGTGACAGTGCAGCAGCCCCTGGAGCTGAACGGTGAGGACGAGCTGGTGTTCACGCTGGTGGAGGAGTTGACCATCAGTGGGGTCCTGGACAGTGGCCGCCCCACCAGCATCATCAGCTTCAACAGCGACTGCTCCGTGCAGGCCTTGGCCTCAGGCTCCCGGCCCGTCAGCATCATCGGAAGTGTCAGCGAGGACCTGGAATGCTACTCCAGCGTGGCTCCTGTCTCTGAAGTCAGCATCACACAGTTCTTGCCCCTCCCGAAGCTGAGCCTGGACGAGAAGGGCCGGGAGGCAGGGAGCAGGCGTTCCTCCATCAGCTCCTGGCTGAGCGAGATGAGCACGGGCAGTGACGGTGAGCAGTCGTGCCACAGTTTCATAGCGCAGACGTGTTTTGGGCACGGGGAAGCAATGGCAGACCCTCCAGCCTCGGAGTTTGTCAGCAGCATCCAGAACACCGCTGTGGTGTGCCGAGAGAAGCCCAAGGCCAGCCCCGACAATTTGCTCATCTTGTCTGAAATGGGGGAAGACACGTTCAACAAAGCAACCCCCATCAAAGGCTGCAAGATATCCACACTGGGCAAGGCCATGGTCACCATCTCCAATACGGCAAATCTGAGCAGCTGTGAAGGGTACATCCCCATGAAGACCAACATCACAGTTTACCCCTGCATTGCCATGAGCCCCCGGAACGTCCAAGAGCCTGAGACACCCCTTGCTACTGTCAGCTCAGTCACCAAAGCAGCCCAGTCCCAGGAGAGCAGGGAACCCAATGCAAAGAAAGAGATGACGTTTGAGGACCCCTGGCTTAAACGAGAAGAGGAGGTAAAAAAGGAGAATACTCATCCCAGCGAAGAAGGGCTTAGGCTTGAGACTGCGACGGGCCCTCCAAAGTCTGAGGCCAGAGCAGAGCGGCAACAGGACAGGACGGACAGCCCCGGCGACAGGCCGAGCGGCAGCAGCAGTGAGGTGTCTGCCTCGCCAGTGACCGACAACTTCAGGAGGGTTGTGGATGGCTGTGAGATGGCCCTGCCCAGTTTGGCTGCCCAAAGCCCGGTGCATCCCAACAAAAGCCTGAAGTCAAGCAGCCTTCCTAGGGCTTTTCAGAAAGCCAGCAGACAGGAGGAGCTGGACAGCCTCTTCTACCACTGTGCCGCGGAGACCAACGGGATTGGCACAGCTTCCGGCACCCAGCCCTCCAAGGCCACCCTGGAGAGGAAGGTGGCGTCACCCAAGCATTGTGTCCTGGCTCGACCCAAAGGGACACCCCCTCTGCCCCCTGTCCGAAAGTCCAGCTTGGACCAGAAGAACCGGGCCAGCCCCCAGCACAGTGCCTGCAGCAGCACCACCAGCAGCCCCCTGAACCAGCCAGCACCCTTCTTGGCCAGCTTCCCGGATGAGCCCAGCGGCAAAATGAAGGACGCCAGCAGCAGCAGCAAGCTCTTCAGCGCCAAACTGGAGCAGCTGGCCAGCAGGACCAACTCTCTCGGCAGGACAACAGTCAGCCACTACGAATGCCTCTCACTGGAGAGGGCCGAGAGCCTGTCCTCCATGAGCTCTCGGATGCACGCGGGCAAGGACAGCACCATGCCCCGCGCGGGGCGCAGCCCGGGCCGCAGCGCTGGGGCCTCGCCCACCACCCCGGGCCCCAGCGCGGCCGCGGGGGCCTCGCCCAAGGCCAGCCAGTCCAAGATCTCGGCCGTGAGCAAGCTGCTCCTGGCCAGTCCCAGAGCGCGCAGCCTGGCCACCTCCACCACCAAGACCCTCAGCTTCTCCACCAAGTCCCTGCCGCAGGCGGTGGGCCAGAGCGCCAGCCTGCCGCCGAGCGGGAAGCACATGTCCTGGTCCACGCAGTCGCTCAGCAGGAGCCGTGGCTCGGGCCTGGCCGCCAAGCTGCCGCTGCGCGCCGTCAACGGGCGCATCTCGGAGCTGCTGCAGGGCGGCGCGGGCCGGGGCTCCCCGCTGCGCGCTGGGCCCGAGGCCGAGGAGCGTGCGGGGCCCGGCGACGACAAGCCGGCCGCCGCGCCCCTGCTGCCGTCGCCCTACAGCAAGGTGACCCCGCCGCGGAAGCCCCACCGCTGCAGCAGCGGCCACGGCAGCGACAACAGCAGCGTGCTGAGCGGGGAGCTCCCGCCGGCCATGGGGAAGACGGCGCTCTTCTACCACAGCGGCGGCAGCAGCGGCTACGAGAGCATGATGAGGGACAGCGAGGCCACCGGCAGCGCGTCCTCCGCCCAGGACTCCATGAGCGAGAACAGCAGCTCGCTCAGCGGCAGGTGCCGGAGCCTCAAGACCCCAAAGAAACGCTCCAACGCAGGTGGGCACCCGGGCGCGGGGGCACGGGGGGCAGAGGGCAGGGCGAGTCACCCGAACCCCCTGCTGCCCTGTCGTGTGCGGATCGTGGGGGGCCTCCAGGCCGCGTGGACTTGACACCCGGTGTCGCCTTCCCCCAAGTCTGTCGCCCTGCAGGTCTCAGCTGGGACATAGCCACGGTGGGTTTCACAGTAAAAAAGTGACCTACTGTTTGGGCATCATTGCGTCCTAAGGCTGTGAATGCCCCTCGGTCCTCAGCACAGAGAAAAGGCGGAGCGCTGGGGGCCACCAGGAGCACCGGCTCCACACTCCAGCTGTGGGGGTGAAGCTGCAGGGTCCTCCCGTTGTTTCCCCTCACCCCACGCTGGGAGGGCTGGGTTTATGTGCTCAAGGACCAAGGACACTGCTGCTTAGGGCCACTGAGGGATCTGGTCAGGGTAGACACCCTCCCGGCCTAGTGGCCGCAGAAGCCCAAATGCGGGAGTGATGGCCCCCAAGACCATGGCAGCCTCTCTGACTCATTGAAAGTGCAGTGGGAGAGGCCCTTCCTCCACCCCAAACACACTCACGCACAGTCACTATGCACACCCACCATGGGGCCTGAAATGTGCCCAGCCCCCATACACATCCAGACACACGCAATGCACCAGCACAGCACACGCACACCAGGGTGCCCGAAATGCATGTTTTTTGAGGAAGTCTTTGCCATCTCCAGGAATCTCCTATCCAAATACTCAGGAGCAACTAATGTGAAACTCCCACTGCCTCGTTAATTGGAATTTTGGGTGACATGTGACAGTAAGTAATGATGGGCAAGGAGAAGAGAACCTGGTCAGAGCTGGTGGCACTGGGAGGTGAAAGGTCAGTGAGAGACGGACAGAGAGACAGAAAGCAAAAGGAATGAGGGACAACTTAAGCTACTTGAGAATTTTGCTGATTCATCTTTGCTTTTAAATGGCTTCCAAAGAAATTACGCCGCCTCCTTCTTTAGCAGGAGGACTCATTTGTAAGGAAGCAGTCTTATGCAGAGCCCACGTGCAGCTCTGCACCTGGTCCAAGTGAGGTTGGCATGGGTCCTGCCTTCCTCGCCTGTCCTTTGCTGTCCTGTGTCCCTTCTGTGGAAGCCGAGGTTCTCCGAGAGCTCTCAGGAGCCATTGCCGTATTGGTGCCACCAGCATATACAGAATGGGAAGATGGGGTGAGGCCCAGAAGGGGGGCCTCCGCCTTCCTGCAGCTGCTCCAGCAACTGCCACAGGCTTTTCCTCTCAACCACTGGGTTGCTTTTTCCTGTTCTCCCACCACAGGCCAGCACAAGCTCTGGAACATTCCAACCAAATGTAAGGGCTGTGGTCAATGCCTCAATCAAGGAAACCAACCTCAAGAGACTATGCAATCATGTCATAATTCTAGACAGTGATGTCATGTCATCCTTCTAGACAGTGATGTCATGTCATAATTCTAACTTATGACGTAGATTGTCCCATCGCCCACCCCATCACAGATCACGGAACCTTATGAGGATGTTACACTCTGAGCACATTCAGGAGTCATCCTGGCTGTCAGAACCTTGACGTCTTTATTTCCCAGGTGGCGCGTACTTCAGGCTTTGACCCACTTTGACGATGCTCCACTCCAGGCCCTCCGCCCTCAGAGTCTCAGCAGCAGACTTGGGAGCAGAACCCCATAGAAGACAAGTGGAGAAAGAAAAAGCACTCAGTATAACACGACAGCTGCTGTGTCCTATTTTCAGGGTCACGGGCATTAAAATGTATTGATGTTAGTTATTAAAAATAACAAGAAAGTTTATCTAAGCCAGAAAAAAATTTTTTGCAGAAAAAAAATCTGCTGGCCTTCCCAGTCCTTGGTTGATAAACCTTATTAATCCAGACTATCCAGTGTTAGTCGTCAAAGTCCAGATGGTTGTGTGGTGCTCGCCATGTGCTCCTGTGGATTTGAGTTTCATGGAGCTTTCACGTGCTCTAATTTAGCGCCTTCAGTCTACCAATCCATTTTCTTCTTTCAATCTCTTTTACTCTTTCTTTAAGACTTGGGTTTTCGGTTTGGCTGTTACACTGGAGTAAAGAGGAAGAAAAACGAAGTGAAGTAACCGCTGGGAGAGTGGACAGCAGGCTCTGCACGTGCCCTTGCTTGGTGCTGCCTCCTGTCATAAATGCTGTCCTCAGAGGGGCCCTTGTCATGTTGAGCTTTTGGAGGAAAACGGCGTAAAATCGATGCACGAGGCTGGGTGCCAGCGAAGGGATTTAGTAGAGAGCCGAGGGCGCTGGACCTCGGTGAGCAGCTGCCGGCTATCCGGGGCTCTGTAATGGAGATGGCAGTGGAGATGTGCTCCGTTCAGGTTAGGTGACCTTGTCTCGCTTATTTATGATTAGTATTAAGGGAAATGCTGGCTGTCAGGCACGATCAGCATAAATCAGAAGCAACTTCTTTAAGAGAAGCCGTAAAACTCCTCAAAGGAAACTGCTTGATGGCTGGATTTTACAACTGCTAGAGGTGTTTGAACCACAGAGGAGACGGGCAGTTATCTTTTATCAGAAATGGTTTTGGAAAATTTAAATGCTTTGATTATCTCCTCAGTAAAAATGAACTAGAAATATATGGAGAAATAGAGAAATATATTACTAGGAAGATAACCTAAGCTCTCTGAGCGCTTTGTGGTGGATGTAGCCATAGAAACAACCAAACATCATGACGGTCCACTTTCCAGTCCCATCCTGGAGATCCATGTTGGCGGAGAGTGCACGGAATGGGGCTGGTTCTGTTGGCCACAGCGTGGTGCAGGGAGAAGACTGAGCTAGAAAGCAGGAAACTTGAAGTCTTAGGCTGTGTGACCTTTAGGGAGTAACTGTCCTCTCTGGGTTTCAATTTTCTCACATAAAAGCAAACTGAGGAACTTGTAGAGAACCACTATGGTTTCTCCAATGCTCACATTGTATGGGATGATGCAAATAATATCAAGAATATAGGTGGCAATATGACTTCCTTTCCATAAGACCACCCATAGTCAGTGGGATTTATTTTCAGCTGTTAAGTACTGATCAGGCCTCTCTGGGCTGTTAGAGCTTGGTGGCATGGAAGTGTCAAGTGTGGTGGGGGAGGGGCAGGCAGCATAGAAGACAAGGCCACTGTAAGAAGTCTGTGATCTAACTGGAGAGAAGGACTAAAAGTGTGGAACAGAGATCAGTGATCTGAGGCGCACTGCCGAGTCCAAGTGGTGTAGGGAGCACCTAGACAAAGGGAGGGTTCGGAGCAACGTAAGAAGGCTGCCTGGAACCTGGGGGTTGAGCTGGGCCTTGAAGGATGCTCAGGCAGAGGCTGGAGGGCGTTGTAGGCTGAGGCAGTAATGGGAGCGCAAGTGTGGGACAGCAAGAGTAAGATTAACTCAACAAGGGGGATATTCGTTTTTTTAAAAAATGTATTACTTTTTAAAAATTGTATTGAGGTATAATTGACATTATATTCAAGTGTATGACATAATGATTTGATATTTGTATATATTATGGGATATTTTTAATGACAGATGGAAAATGTAAGCCCAGATCAAATTATACCTTGAATATCTGGCAACTATATAAGAATTGTTGTAGTTGGCAATGGAGAGTCATCATAGGTTCTTGACCAGGAGTGTCATAAGCAGAAGTTGTGTGTTCTCTTTATCGATGGATTTTCATTGATCCAGACACAGTTCCTTGCCTGCCCCTCTGCGGTCAGTGACAGGAACTTGTATATACTCATTAGCCATGAATTAGAGTGATGACAACCAGCCCGGGTGGAGAGCACATGTCTGTCCCAGCCAGAGGGCATTAAATTGCTAAGAGGATGTAAATCGGGGATAGGCAGTTTATGCCGTGGCTGCATCAGCCTGGCCCTGCCCCGAGCCCCAGTCCTCACACCGACAGCTCTCTCACGTCACAAATCACTTGTCATGTGACCTCTCCCCGGAGACTCTATCTTCTTCCTCAATCCCAGACATGTCACACACCTGGTGTGTTACCCCCTTGGCTTCTTTCTCGCTCTTTCCTTCTCTCGGACTGGCTGGGGAAATCTGAAAGTTAGATCAGCACATTGCTCTGAATGAGTTCGTTCCCGCTGCAGCAGGCCCGGGTGAAGTGTGACCCCACATCCAGAAAGCCTAGGAAAGAGGGAGGGGCTACCTGAAGAGAAGCCAACCCAGGGAACATGTCGGTTCTGGGACGTACCCAGCGTTTGACCTGCCTGGACATGAGTTCCTGCAAGGCCTGTTCTGCACTTGACTCTGCTGGGTACCCACCACGGAGCCAGGGCAGGTTACCATGAATGAATTGGACAGGACTGATGGATTCGTTGGTTGGCTGGTTGGTTAGCTTGTTGGCTGGTTGGTTGGCTGGCAGGGTGGTCCTACAAATTAGCCCAGAGTTCTTTTCTATGTACTTCTTATATCTCGCCCTGCTGGTGATGGGGCTGTCAACGTTGAGCCCATCTTCCATTTCCCTTGCCACTCTAAGCATGCAACACCGTGCCTGCCCTTCTCTGGGTGCTAGGTAAACGTTACTAACTGATGGGGTAGCAGGTTCAGTTCGAAGAGCTGCTGCACAAAAATCGCAACTAGTTACTCCTCACAAGGATCTCAGAGCACCACGATTTGCTCTGCCCACTCTCTGCTGTTCATTTCATTCTCAGGCGATCTCATTTTGTTTTAATGAATTCAAGTAACGCGGTGGGCACTGGCTTAACGAAAACAGGAGGAAGGCAAGCAGCTTGCTGGCAGATGTAAAATTTCCAGAGTGTTCCTAAGGGACTCCACCTAGAGACAGATGAGAAAGGGTTTTTTGACTGTACAGTTGGCAAAAAAAAAATAGAAACATAATCAACTCCCTAAGACACCAAGGAAGCCCCTTAGAGGAGGGAGTATGTGCCTAGGAATCCCAGAGCGTGGGACGGGCCCCGCTCTGCCTCGAGGAGAGCTCTGTGGCCCTGGGGCAGCTGCCCATCTCACCTCCAGCTTGG